GTAGATGCTTTGGTCGCCAAGTACCTATTAATATAGGTAGTACTTGAAGGGCAAAGTATATGATATTTGGATACATAACCCTTATAATGTATAATAGTATCCTATATAACCCAGCCTCAGTAGCCTTGCCCAATCAAGACCCTAAACCCACAACCTAAAGCCTCAACCCTAAGCCCTGAACCCTAGACCCTAAACCCTAAACCCTAAACCCTAAACTCTACTTTGGCATGAGGGTTTCGGCCGTGGTCTGCTGGGTGGAGGCAGCAGCAGCAGGAGTACACAGTACTATAGGGGCCTTCATAATTAGAATACGGTTCCTTAAAGGATTCCTTCAAAAAGGGTTACTATAAAGGGTACTATAAGGTTTTAGGGTTTAGGGGCCTTGATTAATTAGAATAGGGTTTTGGGGCCCATTCTACTATAGTTATAACAAGGAGTATTGGTAATAATTCAGGTCCCTATAGCAAGGTTCTCGATCGATGTACGGTCGACGCTACGTCGATCTTGGCCTGACACGGGGGTCATAGTACTTAGAACAGGGTGCTGGGGTATCCTTCAGCTGATGACTAGTGGTGTGAAGGACCAGCGGAGATGTAAACTGTGTTTGTTGTTCTGTCCTCCGTGCCCTCGTACACGAAGTCGATAAACCCAGAACCTATCCTCTCGTCCTCCGGACCACACCCGCGTGCCTCCAACGTATTGTTCTTAAGTGCAAGAGTCTCAATCATTGGCACGGGTGTTCCTGTGTAATCGTTTCCCATGCAGTAGCCACAACTCTATTCTAATCACGTGGGACCCTATACGGAAGTTGCTTGACTGAAGCTCTCCCTGCTCACACCGTCAGGGAACCGGGTACACCGATGATGGCGTGGTCTGTCAGGACTCTCAAGACGACTGAGCCATCCGGATCCGGCATAACCCATGATTTTCTTGTTTTGTATAACCGAAATGCTGCATTACCCAACTCCAGAGAAACGCAGACTTGCTAAACCCAGTCTTTGTCTCAGGTGGGACCTGCACGGGAACCCGAATCTAGAACAACATACATCCGCAGCCTGTTGCATTTGTTGCATGCCTTAGTTCGAGGAAGCTGCAGGTTTCTTGTGGATATGTTCACAGCCCGCGATTGAAATCTTCACTCCAGGCATACACAGAGCGATCATGCCCTCGGAACTTTGTCCCTAGAGCTCTAAAGCCTCTAAAGACTTTAAAGCCTAAGCATGGAGCCTTACAGTAACCTTTCTTTCCTAAGCCCTAAACCCTCAACCCTTAAGGCCCTAAGCCCTTAATATGAATAACACATCCGGGTCGGAACCCTCACCACAACCCAGCCGCCAACTCTAAGTCGCACCAGAAGCCCCTACCCCTAAAACTTGTGAACTCCCACTCCAATTAAACGGTTGAGGGTGTAGAGAACCCTAAACCTGACCCCAATTTAGGGACCCTAAAGCTTAAACCCAATTTAGGGATTAAGGTTTTCTACTTTGAGGATCATACAAAAGCCTACGGGATTTCCCCTCAACCCTCAACCCTAAACCCTCATGAGCCTCGCGACTCAGCGGCCCGAATGCGTCCGCGCGGCTGCAGCGGAGAAATTCCGCAGCGCCTCGAAGCATACCGGCTGGGTGCAGGCTGGCCGGGGTCTGGTGCTAAAGGGTTTCGGGTTTAGGGTTTGGGGTTTAGGGTTTGGGGTTTGGGGTTTAGGGTTTGGGGTTTAGGTTTAGGGTTTGGGGTTTGGGGTTTAGTGTTTGGGGTTTGGTGCTAATATAGGGGCCTAGATAATCACCAATACTATTTGGGGGGGGGGGGNNAAAATATACCCCAAAACCCTATGCAAATGATTATAAGGCCTCTATATTTGTTCTTATTCTTAGGGTTTCGGGTTTAGGGCTTTAGGCTGCAATCAGAAAGGGTAGGGGAGCCTGGGGTGCTCTGTCCTTAAGATCCCATAAGGGCTTGTGGCCCCAAGACTCAAACAGAGTCAGAGACTATAGGGCCTTGGATTCAATCAAGATGTTGAGTTTCACGCGAGCGGATTTAAAAGGGAATCTTGATAGCATCACAACCCTGCTTGCGAAGTCAGCCAAGCAGAACCTTCGAGATCCCCGCAAAGACCTATACGACCCCCAAACCAGCGATAAACTTTACGTATATATTTACCTGTAGCCGAAAGACCTACCGTTTCAGGCTTCCCGATTACGGCTTCTATATAACTCCCAAAGCGGTCCCTAAACCCTATACCCCAGACCCTAAAACGGTAGGGTTTTGGGGCTCAGGGTACAGCTTAGGCGGCCAACCCACACCTCGCGTCGAAGGCCGAAGGGCTACAGGCTAGGCCACAGTACAGAGTTTGGGGTTTCAGGGTCTAGAGGTTTTAAACGTTTCGCATGGTACATGGTTGTATGATGGATGGTTTAGGTGTCAATTTCTCGAGCTGGCTCTGAAGGCTACAGGACCCCAGCGACACTTTCTTACTCCCCCCCTGCCCCCCCCGCACCATGCACTGCAGTGAGCATGCCTTCATCAAAGTGCTTGGCTTCGGGTGTACGGAGATACGGAGGGACATACTATAGGGGCCTTAATAATTAGATTAGGGTTTTGGGGTATTTCATACTATAGTTTGAATAAGGAACCCCCAAGACCTTATTCTAATTATTAAGACCCCGACATTACTCTACACAGGGAGCAACCTTGGTCTTCTTGAGGCCCCCAGTTTTGTCCTTGATACATCAGAAGCCATGTCCTTTGCGGTCTGTTGGGGAAATATCGACAGTAGCTGCGCGGACCCGAAAGCATTCACGTTATTGGAGGACGCTGCAGCAAACTACATCTTCGGCCGCTTTGGTCGCTCGTCTGCATGTATGTATGTATGTATGTATGCATGCATGCATGCATGTATGTAGGTATGTATGCATGTATGCATGTATGATATGTGTACACATGTCTACATCTGTGTAGAGACATACATGTACATCATACATGTACAAATATAGCGAGGCAGACATGACCTACCTACCTACCTGCCTGCCTGCCTGCCTGCCGGCCTGCCTACCTACCTACCTGCCTACCTTACATATCCAATGACATCTTATATCTGCATATGTACACATAAAGAAGTATACAAATATAATATAATATAATATAATATAATATAATATAATATAATATAATATAATATAATATAGTATAATATAATACAATATAATATAATCGAGTCATTGAGTGAAAGGGCTTCAGGGGTTAAGATAGAAG